CCTCCCTTGGACACCCTGGGGGATTGCAGACACGCATGCTCTGCCCATCACCATGGCCTGCCTGGGCAGCAGCCCCCCACCTCCTCTGCCCCCACTGCCCCCAGTCCCCCAGCCTCTCATGCCCCCAGCCCCCATCCCAGCCGATGGTGGGGAAGGGGTGGGAGGTGGTTTTGGCTCCAGGTGGTGCCAGTACCTCAGCAGCCTCATGCCCGCTGTGGCCCCCAGGTAGGTGGGGGTCTCCTGCTGCTGCTCTGCTGGAATGATCTCCATGGCCTTGTCCAGGCAGGGCTTCAGGCTGGCTCCAGCCCCAGCGGGGTCATCTGCATAGCTGGAGATGCCAGGTCCTGCAAGAGGGCACCCCATGATGGAGCAAGCTCAGTGTCACCCGGGAGGGACAGGGCATGGTGGGCATGTTCTCCCTCAATGACCCAGGGGTTTTTCACCTCTTTCCCAGGTCATCTGGGCCCTTGCCAAGGATGTCCCTGGAGGCACAGTGCTCAGGGCTGTCTGGCCTGCTGGCAACACATGTGCCATGGACACAGCTCGCTGTGGCAGCTCTGGGTGGAGCTGGGTGGAGCTAGTGATGTGGCTCTCTGCTGAGCACATGTTTGATCCTAGGGAGGCCCAACTTGGCTCCAGCCCCAGCGGGGTCATCTGCATAGCTGGAGATGCCAGGTCCTGCAAGAGGGCACCCCATGATGGAGCAAGCTCAGTGTCACCCGGGAGGGACAGTGCACCCATTCCCCAGACAGAGGGAACTCTCTAAACCTCCTTGGAATTACCCAGATTTCCCCATCACAGACCAAAACTCTGCTGTTTGGTACCATATAGATACTGAAAAGGAAACTGCTGACCCAGAGAGCAGTTAGGAACTCCATACAATAACCCAGCAGAAGCCCAGTAATGTTGAGGGACTTCTGCAGAACTTTTAGAAGCCCCCATGGGAAGATGAAGTTGCATGTTATGAAAGCAGCTGTGAATAGATGTTGTAGAAAGAACAGCCAAGGAAGCAGGTCTATGGGAGAAGGAGCAAACTGCACATTCAGCATCCCACATTGTGTGTTGATGCACAACCACCAGCTGCAAGATTGGACTGGCTCCAGGAGCTGTGCCAACCTGGGAGCCCTACCCACCTTTGGATCCCTCAGCTACTGCAGGGCTCCCTGAGGTGCAAACTATCCTCCCTAAAATTAACTTTGGTTCTTCCATCTCCCTTTGGCCCAGTGCAGGCTGAATTACTCAGGTCACTGACAATGCTGTGAGAGACTGGGGCAGTGACCCAGCAGCAGGGCCAGAGGGCTGGACACACTCACCAGGCACGGTGCAGGCCTCCACCTGGGACACGATGCCAGTGCCATTCTCCTTGTCCCCAGGCCACTGGTACACGTAGAGAGTCGTGTGCGTGGAGCCCGCGTCGAACACCAGACCGTACTGGGGGGGAGGAGGGGACACGGGGTGTCAGGGGGTGCAGCCCCCCTCCCCCTGCCACAGAGCCAGCAGAGCTCCTGGTGAGCAGGGGGGAAGCAAGTGGCCAGATGAAGTGTCACCAGAGCAGGGAAAGCCCTGTGGCATCACCAGCTGTGCTGGGGATGAGGCTCCATCACAAGCTCTTTGAGCTGGCAATGCCCTGTGATGAAGAGGCTGTATGTGCTGTAAGGCCAGACACAGTGACAAAACTCTTCCAGATCTACCTGGCATGCCAGCCTGTCCCCATCTCAGTGACAAAAACACAGCCTGCCTGAAACCTGGGGTAAACCCTTTGCCAAGCAGCGACCAGCACCCAGGCAAGAGCAGGAAGCTGCCCCCCCCCGAGAACCCTACCTTGGTGCTGGGAGGCAGAAGCACATCCCTCACGTTCACAACACTCAGAATGAGGGCAATGATGGTGAAGACACAGGTGGCTGCCAGGAGACCTGCAATGGCCTTGGCTTTGTAGTCCATTCCTCCTCCAACCTGCAAGAACAGCCCCGACCCCCAGCTCACACCTCTGCCTTTTTTCAAGGCTGGTTTTGAAATGCAAATCTCATTAATGGTCATGGCATCTGGCAAGACAGGACTTCACCCTTTCCTGACAAGGGCTTGAAGCCATCTTCTAGTATATGGCTGCTCCTACAGGAGGCTCTTGGCAGTCCTGGGCTGGGACATCCTCTCCTCCTTAGCACTCCCTCTCTGGGGGATTTTGAGATTGGCATTTTCAGCCCTGCTTTCTCAACTGCAGCCCTTCAGGCTCTGCATAGCCTAGTCTCCATCCCTCTGCCTTGTCCAAACTACTGGCTGGGAGACTGGTCAGCATCTCCCTTTCCAGTAGCATCACTGGGATCCACCTGCTGCCATCATACCCTGCACCCTTGCAAAATCTTTCCCACAAGACTTGGAACCATCAGGTCACATCTTGTGCCCAACAGTCCCAGACTGCTCTTGAGAGGGAACAGACAAGGGAACAGCGTCTCCAGCCACGTGTTTCCTGCCTGGCCAACTCTCCTTGGCTCTTGGTGGTGCCACAGCAGGTAGGCAGATATGGGGAGATGATGTCTTTGCCTGTAGGTGATCTCCAAGCCTCTCCTGCAGCCCCAAGGGCAGGCAGAGGGCAGAGCCAGAAAGCTGCTGCTGATCTGGGTACACACAGCCCTGGGGCCAAGCTGACAGCATGTCATGGGCACACAAAGCCAGGGAGAAGGTCCCTTACCCAGCTGGAGCTCAGCTCCCAGCAGAATCAGCCCTGAGGCACCAGTAGGGGATTGCAGTGGAGCTGCAAAGCCAAAGGGTCTGGTTCCCTGCAATGTGTTCTCAGCACATGGCAGCTGACATGTCCACATGCCCAGCACCTCACAGCTGGCCCAGGTCATTTTTCTCCACCTGCAGCACCCTGCGCTGTGCCACTGGCCACGCAGGCAGCTCTCCTGCAGGGAGCCAGGCTGACCTCCATCCATGACATCAGGCTGCAAGCCAGGCTCCAACTGAGCAGAGGATGCCCCGAGAGCCTAGAGAAGCCATTTAACCCAAGCAGTTCTCTGAGGTGGCACCTGTGGGCTGTTGCTTGGCTACACAATTCCCCTGGGAGTGCATAAAAACACAGAGAAATTCCCTTGCTTTTTTGCCAGGCCAGCGAAGAGGAAGGACTTTTGGCAAGAGCAAAGGGGATGCTGACTCCTGTTTTGGAGTTAGCATCTCCAGTGATGAACAGGGTGACCTGTCTCCTGCATGACATGAGATGTATAATGATGAAGAACAGCTGTTCAGTGACTTGGCACTACAGGAGGCCCTTGTCAAACCCTCCCCTCTATGATGGCTGTGACTGAGGAGATCATATGGAAGCAGTTAATGAGTGCTACATCTCCTGTCCTATTAGCCCTGCTAGACTTTGCCTAGATACAGATATCTCACTGGGATGTGATTGCCCTGTTCCAGGTAACACAGCAGTGGCAAAAGTCCCCAGCCCAGCCCATATCCTGGAAAATTCTGTCCCAGTCTGTGCGATGGAACAATATGAAATGGTGACAAATCACACTCTCCTGCATGCACCAGCTGGTGGTAAGAAATGAACTACACCTGCTCTGGTAGGGACTAATTTCTGTTCTGACAGGGCAGGAGGCAACATCTGAAGGCAGCATAGAGCCAGTGAGGCCCAGGGAGGAGAGCAGGACATGGGTAAGGAGCCCAGGGGGTGGAAAACATGGCAAGAAGCATGTGAGAAGCTGATCGATCTGCCCAGCCTTTCAGTGGCGCCTCAGGAGCGGTTGGCACTGGGACCTGCTACTGTGTGTGGCAGGTTCAGCTGAGCAGTCATGACAGGAAGGAGGAGGTGATACCTCCAGAGCTAAAGAAGAGGCACGCTGCTGCCCAGAGCCCCGGGGAGC